CTGGATTCCCCAAAGTGATAAATCTTTTTTATCCTATGTAAAAGACCTCCCTCTCTTCCTTGCCTTCCTTTGAGCACAATCTGACAGCCTGTCCTGGTTTAGAGCAAATTTGGGAGGAAAGCTTTGAATGGAGTCCCTCTAGGAAACAGATTCAAGCAGTCCCTTCCCTAACTGGTTTGGGGAATTATTTCCTGGGAGAGAAGTGGGAAAAACCTGTTTATTTAATGGGCAAAACACTCCCCAGCACAAAATGAATAATGCTAAACAGCAGAACCTGTCTCTGCTCTGAAGAGATGTCAAATTCCAAAGAATCCCCCCCGTGGGCTGCAGCCCAGCTCACTCAGTCTCTTCTCAGTCCCTTCAGAGCTGGGAAATGTCACAGCCCAGGTGAGCCACAGGTGTGAGCTCTGGGTTTGCAGTCTAGAGCAGGTTCCAACAGTTCCAAGAAAAGGGGAAAAAACCCCCCAAAACCACAGTCCCGGGAACTTCTTTGCCTCAGCTAGTTAGAAAAGCTAACCAAAAGCAAACCAGAGGTGTCTGAGTGTCTGCTGCAGACAGCACAGGCTGTGTGGGGGATGTGGGGCTGCCGGGGCAGTCTCTGATAACACCTCACTCCTGGAACCAGGCTGAAAGCTGCACAACTCAATATTCAACACCACCAGGGCAGAGGATTTGGGGATACAAGCACCATAAAGTCACCCCCAGACACGGCCCAGAGGCCATGGAGCCACAGCTGGAGCCACACTCAAGGCCCCCTGTTCCCAAAGTGTGACCACTCCAGGCACAGCACCAGAGTGGCAAAGTGACTGCAGCATCAGGGGACAGCCCCGAAAATCAGTGTCCTCTTCCCATTTCCTCCCTCATTTCAGCTCGTTATCCCTGCATGTCTCTCCCAGCAAGATGGAAATGAGGCAGTGGTGAGGTGCCAGGCTCTGCCCAGCCCAGTGTGCTCCAGCAGCCCTGCTGTCCCCAGGGCTGTCACAGGGCTGGGGGCACTCACGTTTGATCCCAAAGACTTTCCCTCAGTGCCCTGGCACCCTGTGAAGTGCCTGGGCAGCTCTCCAGATGTTCAGGGCACCAGGGTTTCTCTAGGGGAACATCAAAGCATGAAGGTTTATGGTGGCAGAGCCAGGAAACTTGGAAATCATGGAATCACAGAATGGTTTGTGTTGGAAGGGACCTTGAGGATCGTCTGGTTCCACCCCTCAAATACAGCTTTAAGGGAGGGGAAATGAGCTCGAGGCTTTAAAGGAGGCTCGAGAGGAGCAGGTGGAGCTGGAGACACACCTTGAGTTCCCTGCCCCACATCAGCTGCCAGGTGAGGTAGGAAACCTTCCCTGTGCAGCACCTGAGCTGAGACCTCAAACTCTCAGAGGCAATAAGTGACCATTTCATCAACAATTTAGGATTTAAAAAAATTTTATTCTGAAATCTCCCTTCATCACTACCATTTTCTTCACAGAAGCTTTGAGAGAAGGAATTCCATCATCGAATAAAGAAGCCTAGAAGGGAGAAAATAGATTTTTAGAGTGGGAAATATGGGTTTAACGAGTGATCAAGCCAACTGCTTCAAAAGAAAGCAGATTAAAAATATTTCTGTGTTGTGGTGGGGGACAGTGGTGGTTGTAAGTGAGGGAGAAAGCCAAGAGAAATGAAGACAGGCTGGGACAGCTGGGGCTGCTCAGGACCTTCCAGTACCTGAAGGGGCCTCCAAGGAAGTCAAAGAAAGACTTTTCACCAGGAACTGTTCTGATAGGACAAGGAGTTCAAAGAGGGGAAATTTAGGTTAGATATCCACAAGAAATTTTTCCCTGTGAGGGTGGTGAGGCCCTGGAACACATTGCTCATCCCTGGAAGTGTTCCAGCCCAGGTTGGACCACCCCAGTAATGCAGAACAGACCAAAATCCCCCTTCCCTGCCAAAGGTTTCTGAAGCATTGTTCAGCAGTGCTCGAGAGCCCAGAGCACAGAGTAAAAGGTCGTTTGGTAATACAAAGCTCACTTCCCACACACCCATTTCCACTTGACTAGAAACTGCTAAAAAGTTAGCAACAGCCCCAAACAGTGCACACAGGCCTCAGATATTAATAGGGGGTTTCAGTATTGCTTTGAGATGAAAGTATTAATCAAAAATAGGTGTGGGTGCATTAGGAATATGAAATAGGCACCTTCACAGAGCAGACTTTCAGCCACAGAAATCCTGACTTCATGGAAAGTCACAAGTGGCTGCCATCAGCAGTTTCCAGAGCTGATGCACTTGTCAGTCCTCCCTGGAGAACAAATGATTCCTCAGGCTGGAGCCCAGCCTGGGGGTTCCTCCTGCACGGGCTGGGGACACAGAGCCAAGGCAGCTGGGGAAGGACACACAGCCCCACCCCTGCAGGGTCATCCTGTGTGTGACACACACCTCAGCTCTCCTGGCATTAGGAGCAGCCTCACCAGCGTTCAGGGGACCCGTGAGACATCATCAAACACCACTCACACCGGGACAATTGGCCTGGGAATTCCAGGCTGCATGGAACACATGGGTGGGGGATCTCCTGCTTGGTTTTCCCTTTCCAAGCTGAGGGAAATTGAGAGCCTGGCAGAAGGCAGTGCTCCTGGTTCTCAGGCTGGGGTGGGTCCTTCTCATTCCCAGAGTGCTGCTCAGGTGTTTTCAGCTCATGTTTCTTTTTGTAGTTCCACCTACCCAGCGAGTTTTGAAAACATCATCTTTGGACAGCCTGACACCAAGAGAAAAAATGCTGGGTTTTTTTTTTCCCTATTTTTGAATCCCATGATATTTTAAACCCACTCATCTGGAGCATGAGCCATGATCACTTGATGCTGACAGAACCAGAAATTATCACACTGGCTGTGCTTTGGGAATTGTCTCTCCAGCTGAGCTGTGGGGAAGAGGAAGGAAAGAGGGAAAGCAGACAGCAGGACCATGCCAGTATCCCTGGGGGGACAGAGGGTGTCTGTGAGTCCTCAGAGAAAAGGAAATTCAGGGAGAAAGTGGAGTTCCATTACACACAAATTAAGACACAAGAACGCTGTTCCAGGTGCCCAGTCCTGTTTCAAGAGAATCACGGTGGAGAAAGCACTGGGAGAGGGAAGGTAAAGGGGGGGTGGAGGGGATTCTCCATCCAGGGGCATTGCCATTCTGGGCAGGGCTGTCCTACATGGCACCAGCCCCTTCCTGCAGTGCCAGACTCTGCAGAGGGAGTCCGAGGAGCCCAGCAGAGCTCAGGCAGGCAGAGGGGACAGGGTGGCAGAGGGGACACTCTGAGAGCTCTGCCAGGGTGTGAGCTCAGCCTGCCTGGGGTGCACGACAAACTCTGCGTGCCCAGGAGTGAGTGCACAGCTCAGCAGCCTCTCAGCACCCGGGCACTGCCCCAGAACCTGCTGACTCTGCTGGCTGCTGACTGCCTGGCCTTGCCTTCCACATGCTGCTGGGTAACCTTGCCTCAGTCACTGGGGTTTTGGTTTTATGCTGGTGAGTCAGGAGATGCTCATCATCATCATCATCATCATCATCATCATCATCATCATCACCACTGCAAAATGAGCTCTTAGTTGTGAGTCAGCCAAGTGTGATGTTGGCTGGCCACAGGCACCTTGCAGAAATGGAAGCACACCCCTGGATGGGTGAAGCAATGCCTGGTAGAAGGGTTTGGGCTGGATGGCCAGGTTTGGTTCACAGATTATATTTTATCTTCACCAAATCCTTCCAGCAGGATTTGCAGTAACAATTGTGACAGTGTTGTCTTTCTGCTCACAGTAATTTTCCCTCTTAGAAACCCAAAGCAAAAATAATGAAAAAGTTTATTCGGGATAACCTCAGATATTTGAGTTCTGGCTCCAGACCATCTTCAGAAATGACTTGTGATCACACAGAGTGCAGTTTTGATCCAAACTTGACATAATTATGTTTTTAATGTTCCCATCAGCTTTGTTGTTTGCTAAGAGCAGTCTCCTGACACTCCTGTCTTCCCATCCTCTTTGTGCACTTTCAATCCCCTTTAGGTCTGAACACTCAGCTTCCCTCCTTTATTTTAGTTTAGGATCATGCCAGCTTGGCTTTTCTTTGGGTATCTTTCACACATGCATCTGAGAATCTCAGTTAAAAATTAAAGCCACAGGAGGTCCAGGCAAAAGTGCATCAATCTCTCCTACATGAAAGTTTTCCAGGTCATTCCAAGGTGATTATATTGAACCTCTTAAAATTCTACCTGTTAGCAACAAAATATCATCCTTTTCAGTAAATTTAGTAACTTCCACTGTGTGACTAGAGCTAAAGACAGAGCTGATGGGACCAGAACATTTCCAATCTTGGAGAAAAAAAAAAACAAAAAACAAAAAACCCTCAATCAGAACATTCAATTTCAACAAGTATCTCAGTGACAGATGGGGCTCCCCATTCCAGGCCACTTCCTCCGTGAGAGGGAATCCACAAGAATCAGCAGCACAAAGCACGGCCTGTGCAGCCTCTGGTGCTCATCTGGTCCCCTTCATGTGTGGAATGTGAAATTCCATCTGGCAGCCCCGTGCACTCCAAGCACACTCGTGGGGAGAGGGATTGCAGAGCAGTGGGAGGCACTGCAGCAGCTCTGCTCCTGGTGCCACCCGAGGAATGGGCACAGCAGAGAGAACAACGCCCCTTGCATGCTCTGAAAATGGGGATTTGATGGGGCTCTGAGGGGTGGAGGGGGTGTGTAACAGTGGTGGGGGGTTTTTGCACCACTTAACCAGTGGTTTGTCTGGTGTCTCTTCTGTCTTCACTCAGAGCCAGGATTAAAAAACACACGAAGGAAACGAATTTTCTCGTGTTTTGGCTTGGTTGTTTATTCAATCTTATCAAAAAATACAGAAGGGAGCAAAATGGAGAGAGATCCAGTTGCTGTAAGGTCTCTTAAAGCTAAACAGTCCAATAGAGAATTAACACCTATATTATTTATTCTTTTGACCCAATAACCAAACTCCTGTGGCCCTCAGTGTGGCACTGACTGTCCAACCAAAAACTGCTGCCTGAAACCATGAAGAAGAAGGAAGATGAGCACTGAAAGTGACACCACCCAAAATCCTCCATCTTGTCCCACACCTATTGCTGTATTATAAAAACCTCGAATTCCAGACCCTTCACCATGTGCAATCACACACTTCTATTGAACTCCACACCAGTGATTTTAACTCCATCACTCCAATTTGGAAGCCTTGTCCAGGTCCAAAGCAGTGTTCTCCTGGGGGTCAGTGCCACACAGCCCAGAAAGCTCAAACACTCCAGGTTTCTGGGCTCCAGCAGTGGTGAAGGAATAAAGTTTTGGTTGCTGTGTTGTGTCACTGGGCGAGGCTGGGTCCTGTTTGCAGCACACGGCAGATGTCTGCAGGCTCAGGGAGCAGAGGTTGTGGCAGAGGGCTGGAACACCAGGAAGAACTGTAGTTATCCATGACTTTGAGCTCTCCCTCTTTGATCTGGAGCACTAAATATGATCCTTTTGGCTGAGCTCCGTGCTTTGATTACAGGCTAAAAGCTGTGTGTGTACTTAAACGCCTGAGCAAATAGAGTGAACTGTTCTTGGAAAGTGAGCGCTCACAGTTTAATTTATCTCACTTATCCCTCCAGTCTGGCAGCTTATAAGTAACTGCTATGATCAGAGACAAGTTGTTTCCCATTCTATCTGGAGGCAAATAATAGTTTCACAGAAAAGGATCTGACACTCTCTGTACCTAAGTGTTTCTCACACAGGGAACATTTGAACATGACGATTCAAGTGCCGGGTGTCAGGCGAGGAGTCAGCCCCGGCTTTTTGTGGGGAAGGTTCTCCCTGGGCCAGAGCCAGCCCGATGTGCCACGGATCAGGTACATCCTGAGGGTAATGAGGCAGCAGCAACACAAGTACCACTGTGCTCTTCATAATAGGGACTAATGGGGCATTGCTGGAGAATGACTGATGCCACGTATGTAATTGTGAGAAGGATGTGTGAATTTAATAGGGCACAGATTAGAGAGTAATCAATAAGTCTGGGCCGGAGCCTTAATGGAGCTGATACGGTGAGGAAATGCTGCGTGGCAGAACTATCTTTGCAAAACAGCTACAATTCCTAAATGGTGTTTGAGTGTTGCCTTGGGGAGGATGGAGGAGGATGCTGGCACCCCCGAGGGTGCAGCCCCCCGAGGAGGGATTTATGGATGTTCCTGAAATGCTGGCTCTTCTCCCAGCTAACACACACACCTTTTACTCAGAGACCAACATCTCCGGCTGAAAGGGGTTGAGCCCCTTTCTTTGTACCAGATATTTTGGTGCTTTCTGGGCTCCTCCCAGACCCACCTGCTCCTTTGGGACTTCCCTCAAGAGCTGACACCAGAGCAAGAAACTGCATGGGATTAGCTCTGTTTTTACAGATGGATCCACTGGCTACAAAATTATGTGGGTTTTGAGTCCTGAAGGGCTTTAAAATCGTGACTCAGTGATGCCCCTGGGCTGGGGGAGGGTTGCACCATGGGAGGGTGTCTCCATCTCCTGAGGACACCAAGCTAGAGTGGATCTGTCCCACTGTGCACGAAGGATTCTTTATAAAACAAAGTGGAAAGAAGCACATTACATCCCTTGATGTGAATGACACCTGCTTAGGTAATAGTGTTTTACTCCCTGTGGTGCTAAGCAAGGCATAAATCCTCTGAGAATTGAAGTAATAGACATAAACCCTCCCCTCTCTTCTTCCCCCTGTGACTCCACTCTTCTCCACTCCTGTATTAATGGATATTCTATATCTGGAAGGAATTCAAGAGTCTGTAGTAGGTAGTTAAACATCCAGATGTATCAGTAATAATTATGCTCAGCTTGAGGAGGTGAGGCACTTGAATAACAGGCATGGTTTCCATGGATGGCTACAAGATTATAAACATAAAATTTATAAGTGGAATGGGAACATTTGGTTTATTTTCTCTTCTCTTTACAATCACTGCAGTTTAAATTGAAAACAGTGAAGGGTAGCAGAGCCAGTAAACAAAATAATTCATGTCTTACTGATGGGATATGGTCATATAATCAGTAAATTAATTTAGCCTACTCTAGTTTCACCATTAACTTTCTATTTTCTCATTTCAATGGCATTTCCCTGCCCAGTTTATGTCTCTCTTCAATACATATTTGCTATAAACCAGAAGCAAATATCTTGAAGGGTAAATAAAGAGGTAACAAGTCTACAAAAAAGATGTTATTGAAGTACATTAACTTCTGCTTGCTATCTTTTAAAATTTTCTTCATCCAAGATTCATTTTTACTATTTGATCGGTTTCCAATATAAAAGTAAAATGCCAAGATATTTGGTTTTTATACTGTGTCCTTAGTATCTAACAGCACCAAATGTTTCCCTGAGACAAGACAAGTATTTATGACCTGGAAAGGAAGGAAAAGCTTGCAAGCCTGAGGGGATGAAATCAGGATGACTCAGAACAGAAGCTGGAAAATAATTTCAAAAGGTCTTCCTAGCCCTGACTGGGACAGTGGTTGATCTAAGCCATGGTCTGGCAAGAGAGGAACCAATAATTCCTATTGATTTAAAGCCATCTTTGCTACAAAACAAAGCAGACACCTGATATCCATGTGCAAAACCTGTCTGTGCAATAGCGCATCTGTGAGCGTGTGCAATTAGTGCAATTAGACAGCAATTTATATGTAAATGCCCATCCAGTCAAATGCGCCTTCACTTAATTTGTGAATGCACTGGAATATCATTTCAGAGGGGTTTTCTGCATTTTCAAAACCTGCCCATCGATAACTGAATGCAGGGATCCTGCAGTGCCAACCACGGGTGCAGGGCTCTGCTGGGCAGGAG